GCCGGCTCCTGCCCCCGCAAAAGCCCTCCTTGCTAAAGAGAAGGGAGGCGATCTCCTCTTCTAGGCTCTAGACGGGTTAGGAGAGGGAAAGGAAAGAGTTAGACAGTGGCGGACGGAGCGGCAGCGACCTACAAAGGAAAGGTCTGGCAAGGGAGACGCGTGACAAAGACAAGGAGCACGGCGGGGCACGGGCCCCGTCAGGCGAAACGAGAACCGGCGGGACGGCAACCTGTCCTCACCGCAACGCACAGTCATACTCTTAAGACTGCATCTCTCCACCATGCAGATCACACTATAAAAATCGAAAACATTAGCATTTCCATGGAGTTTCCAAACAGAACAGTTTACTTAGGCGGTAACTCCGTATTTACTACTGGGATTTTTCCCTTTTAAAAATCCATTTTTAACACCTTCTCATGCTCAGTCGGCTCAGAGCTTCAGGGCAGTCAAATGCATTTCTTTGAACAATACATACCCACAATGCTGAAACGATGTTTTCTTTATAATATATGTCATATATATGTTTTTCAGTTGCTTAAATAACCTAAGCAAATTCCTTTCTATTAAAGACTCTGTTTCCAAAAAGCCTTTCCCGTTCTACTGGGAAAACTTGTTTTATTCAAACGTACGTAAAAGGGTACGTTGCTTTAAAGCATAAATTTTGTTCATAGTCTGATCTATTTTCTGTAGTACTATAAATCCATGCAGTAAAGCAAACTTTTAAAATTCATGTGGGTACAAGCCTCTGAAAAGGCCGAAATTCTTTACTCCAGTTTTCCTTCCACGAGCTCTTGTATTCAGTTAGAAGCAAGAAGAGTTAAAATAAAAAGCCAACAATGTAACAAATACCTAACATGGATATAACACACATTTTGACAACATTCAGTAAGACACATTTCTGTCTTAGAAAAGAGTACTATAGAGAATCGCGGCAGAAGCACACGCCAGAGGAAAGCCAAGGTGCCATGCAGACAACTGCAGCCCCTGCGGGCTCACCGTGTGAGCAGCAGTGTAGAATCTGAACTGACGTAAGTTACACCATGCTACTGTGCGTATACTACAACACATATGGCATGCAGAACGAGAGGGTAGGAAAAGAAAAAGAATCCCTGTATTTTTTTTTCCCTACAATAAAATTTAAAGTATATTTCAAAGGTGGCTAAGAAAATTTAATGTGAATGCAAGTTATTAAATCCGCCCTCATGCCACATTCAGTATCCATCAGGGCAATGTGTTCCTCACCCCAACTTTCCTTCCCTAGTTTACCGCGCCCAATAAATGTTCATCTATTAATAGACTGCATCAAAAGGCAAAAAATGTTCATGATACTCCTTCTACTGTACTCTGGTACCACGTGGTTTCTAACCACTCAAAGCAGTAAAAAAAAAAAGGCAGGGGGAAAAAAAAAAAATCTTTATGTGGTATGTGGTCAGACTGTGCATCTCTCTCTCCCCCCCAATATATGTATATAATTAAAGACAGGCACATACCACCCATCTTTTTGCATTTTACCACCTTCAAATTTCTAGGTCTTCTAATCTTTCAAAAGGAAAACCCTAGTCACACAATTTGTTTGATAATGTAACCCCTGTTCCCTGAGGAGGCATTTAGTAAAAATGATTAAATGTATGGATAGAATTGGCACTTTTCATCAAATTAGTGTAGTTACAATAATGTATCAGCCTGTGAAGATGTTCAAATTCCTGGCAAATTCCTTCTGCTACATAGTCATATACACTAACATGAAATACTGTTTACAAGCCGGGTGGGGTGGGTGGGGGGTGGATTAAAAAAATAAAATATTGTGGGCAGCCATAACATAACAACATTTCACATATTTATTTGTGACATACATATAAACGTGTCACAATTTCTGTTATAATTAAGTCACAGATGCTGTGCATTTGTGGGAGTACGGTGATACAGAAGTATAGTGGCACGAATGAGATGTACCCAGAATAGCATTTCTCATACACAGAAAATGACTTATTTGCAAGTATTTTCACTGCAGCAAAAGAAGGAAGAAAAGAAAGAATATTAGCAGTGGTATCCCTGTTTTATTCTTGTCTATTTTCCAACTCTCCTAAAAGAGACAGGCAAGAAAACATACAGTCCAGGAATAGGGCTGAGCAACGTATTCGTCTACTAATACCAGCAAGTTTATAAATTGGGGGCAACAAAACACTTGAACACAAACTTCTCTACATCCATCAACATATAATTCAGGATAGAAATACGCTGTTTTCCAAACCTCATATTTATATATGTTACTGAAATAGGACTGACAGCTTTACATTAACTTACTTTTGTCCCAGTTCCTAGGTGGTGGAAAATAGTCAAAAAGTGATGTAAAAAAGCAACATCACAATTGCTACCCATCATCACTATCACACTGCTAGTGGTCCCCCTGGTTATATAGTGTTTTTCACTGCATAGATGTTAAACCAGCTTAGGGGGGAGAAAATCTCCCTCTTTTCCTGGACGAAAAGAGAGGTACAGAAGTGTGGAGGTCCTCAGAACCAGGTTGCCTTGGAAATGAAGCTGCTTCTACAGCATTATTGATTTGAATAATATTACATAGTGAACATGTAAAGCAAAAGTTCTTGTGTGGTGTCAAGTAACTGCAGACAATTATTTCCATATACAATGGAAATACATGTTTTGCTGTCATCCTAGTCACATAAAATACAGTAATTTTCCAGTGAAAAATAGGTTTTCTTTTCAAATAGTAGCCATTCAGAACTTCACAGCTAGTTTGGTGTTTAAGCAGGATGTTGCTGGCATTCATGTATGTGTATATACACACACGCACACACAGAGATCCTGGTTTACAACTCAACCTTCTCCTTTCAATACTGGCTTAAAGAAAGTAATTTCCATCAGGGAGAAAAAAAAGAAAAAGAAAGAAGTGCACAAGCTAGCCCACAGGAGATACAGCAAAAAGGCAGTAGGTTTCAGGGCAGCCACCTTATCGGTCTCCTCTGGTTTTGCTCCAGCAATCCTTGGCATTGCGGTCCACTGCTTCTCCTTCCCAGGCAGCGTTTTCACTTGGAAAATGTGGTCTCCTTTTTTCTATTTGGTTTTCATTTTATAAAACCAGTGTAAATCAACAAGCAATAAGACAGACATACACTACACATAAACATAAAACCAAACCATCTGAAAGTGACAGAACATACTGGATGAGGAAAAAAATACAGAGATAAAAGAACTTGGAGAGGCCTCAACTTCGATACAAAGAAATCAACACAGAAAATACACACAACCACATAACAAAAATTAAGTTACGATTTTACTTAAATGTCTATTTTAACCAAAAAAATATTTATAGCTATTAAATGAACAAATGTGTTGTGGACATTTGAAAATTTGACCAGCATTTGTACTATGCATATACCACTATGCGTAGAAATATTCAGGTACTACTCAGAAATTTGGGGGAATAATTTCTTGGCAGTAACCATAAATTAACAAAACAGTCATTAAAGAAGTGATCCATACAGTCAGTGACTGTATTATCTGTATGCACATACTCACAGTTCAGATTGCTTAAGTATCTTATTGAAATAACGTCTTATTAACAAAAATCATTTGGTAGCATCAAGCAAGCTTGATTGAAAGCTCACCTCTCTGGAGACTGAAGAGAATACTTAAGAATTTAATGGGATGGGACAACAGTACATTTAGGAGGGAGGGGTAGGAATAATGGTGGAAGAAAAGGATAACAACAGAAGAGAAATTGATTGCTTTCGAAAACTGATTTCCTCTTCTACTCTGTGAAAGAAGCAGCTAATAACTCCTCGTAAAACTAAAAGTTTCACAGCAGCAAGGGAAATTTGTTTGGGTAGTTTTCTTGCCACAAGCATTCAGGATGATATTTGTAGAAAATGTTTTTCCAAACTGCTGTTTTAAGGTTCAGTCAGGAAGGCGGTAGAGAGAAAAAAAAGGTAAATTCATTTTACAGACTTTTGGAGATTAAGGTGGGTAAATTTTAAGAACTACATTAAATATGTCCCAAAGAAGTCAACGCTGTAAATTAACTGATCACGTAAGGTCCTTCTGAAACAACTCACAGGCCGTGTGTGTGTTTATGCACAAGCTGTCTATGAAGAGTTAAAGAGAGGGAAAAGGAGGGAAAAGTGCTACTGTCACTGAAAAGTTTTCTCCATCAATCTGTGTAAATCAGAGTGAAATTTAAGCTGTCCTTAACACACAGGAAAATACTGCCATCACCTCCATTTTTTTCCTAGTGATTCTAACTCAGGTGTCCTTGTAAAAGAATAAAATTCCACACATTATTTAAAGTCAGGTCCAATGGTAAGTGGTAAAAAGTTAATGTATACTTAGTATAAACAAATATTACATTAGCCAAGGAAAGCGTTAATCTAAAGGACAAACTGCATTTACTATTTTACATAGAGTTTGTACGGAAACGCGTGCGGACAAGCGTCTGCAGTGACATACCCCGTGTGTCTGTAGGGACTGAGGTGTGATACGCCGCTTTTCCCACTCATTTGGGCGTGGTTCAGGTGTGGATTCCATGAAATTGCGCTTGAGCTCACTAATGCTAGCCTGGTGTTTCAGTAAGTCGTCCTGGGTCTTATCCAGGTCCTAGCAACCCGCAACGTAAAACAAAGTAGGACAAAACACGACAACAAAAGCAAACTTAACTGGAAAAAAAAAAGAAAAAAAAAAAGAAACCAAACCAAGGAAAGTGCCTTGTGTCTGAAGAGCTAATTCTTCTTTGGAGTGCCTTAAAATAAAAAAGTTTAAGGCTACAAGGGAACTAAATTTTTTTTGGTTTTGTTTTTTTTAATGAAGGGCCACTCATACAGTGTTTCTTCCATATTTTAAGGCAAAGAAAAAATAATGCTGTGCATGGTTATTTAACAGAGGGCTATTTTCATCCAAAACATGAAACTACTAACCCTATGAAACAATAATAATTTCCAGTAGTTGCTTGCTTTCATCTGAAATTTGTAAGCACAGAAGCAAGTGTTTTGGGATATTGCACAACTAACATTACTGAAGGCAGCTGTAAGAAAGAATAGTCTAGCCCAAGAAGCACTATAAAAATGCATCTTTCTTGATATTACAAGCTCCATGAAAAATACTTACTTCTGTGAAGACAATACTACAGGGCCAAATATGCAAGTATCTAACACCTGCTTAACTTCAGAGGGACTAGTCATCGTGCCTGTCACGTAGGCTTAAACCTACTGGAAGAACCAGATTTAAAGACTTAAAGCCTGATATCTGGCAATTCCACATTTAAGAACCTGACAGCAGACACAGCACTGAAGTAGGGATAGTTTTTGTGCACACCAATACCAAAGAGATGTTCTCTCTAAATTGCACCTACATAGGCAAGTGCCAAAGGGGACACCACAGCGTGAATATTGAATTAGATTTTGTGATGACCCATTGAGGCTAAATTCAAGTTTAAGCCTCAAAATCATTTTTAGTACAGAATTAAGGGACTGAAGATTAAAATAGAATAATATCAATGTAGACATAATTATTAATGAAGTTTTATCAAAAGAATGTAAACAGATACAATAATTTAGGTAAAGCATCTGGGTTTTGTATTAAGATTTGATATACTTTGTAACAGAACATTTTGAAATTTTACTTTAACATTTTGGTTAGGATTTTTATAGTCAGTGCTCGCAATGCAAAGACACCCTGTCTTAAGTCATCAAAAATCCAAACCCAATACAAACTCATCAGTTTCTAATTTCTTTTCACTTGCACGTTCAGCACCAGTAACAGTTTGGTGCTGCACATCTATTTCTTAATTCTGCGAATATTCACATATCCACTTCGAACACTAAGAACGTCTCCCCTTCTGGCAACTCAGTAGGTTCATATTGTCACAGGACCAATGCTTTACTTTTAATCTAGGACTAACAAATGAGACATGAAATATGTCCCCCTAAAGTATGTATTTTCTGAGTGAAGTAAAACCTTATGCCAAAGGCATTCTATTACTCAACTGAAGCTCATAACAATCATGTCATAATTTTAAAACCTGTCTTTGCTTGACACAAGGCACGTTTCTTGGACTTGATCAAAGCACAGTTACGCAATGCACACTTTCAGTCCTTTAGTGAGTTATACACAAGCAAAGTTTCAATAGTGATCAAAAGCTGCAAAAAGCCAAAAAACGTATTAGTTGGGTTACTGCGATCCATACATCTCCTTATTACTGAACAAAACCAATGATTTTTAAAAAGACAGTTTTTGTGACAAAGGGAATTATTTATAGCCCCATCTGGATGAATAAAATAAATTAAAGACAGCTGTAGGATTTTCTAAAATGTCTTCAGTTACTAGTTTATGTTATTAACCACAATTTAAATTACACTGATCATAACTACAGACAGTCTTTGATAAAATAATCCAGATTAACAGACTATATAGAAATTCTTATAATAAAGATCTCTACTTCAGTGACAAAGCACTACACATTAACATACTGTTCAAAGCTCTTTGTTGTTGCTTATCTTCAGTGAAAACCAGCCTTTAGGAAGCAAGAATTACTTCCATTTGAAAAGCGAAAAAATAAGGCAAAGATTTCAGAAGTATATCTAAACATTCCCTTTAAAAATCTGATCCTCACAAACATTTCTCAAAGCTCTTAATATCAATGAGCGAATGAGTTTTTCCATACTTCTATCACTGCTTGTGCCTTACTAACTCCATTTATTCAGATAAAGTATTTGATAAATGTTGATTAAACTGGTGAAAACTAGAAACCCTCCTCAACAGAAGACGTACACATTGAGGAGCAATGTGTAAAAATCCCATTTAGGATTATGAATTGGACCCACGTGTTTGCTTTATCTAAATAGGGCTATTATTCCCAGTTGCCACCTTGAAAACATCTAGAAAAAATATACAACATGTACATCCAACATACAAGCTGAGGAGTTTTTTGGTTTGTTTGGATTTTTTTGGTGTTTCTTTTTTTTTTTTTCTATTTAAACTCAGAAACTAGAATAACAACATGCAACATTTCCAAGCTGGTTTTCCCCCATGCACTTCATGCACTGTGTCTGTCACAGCCTGCAAGTGACCTCCCATCCCATGCAGCGTGGCAGCCCGTGAGAAGGGAAAGTGTTTCTTATATTATATACAAACCTCCAACATTAAATTGCTATGTCTGACATAAATATTTTCCCCGTCTACTCTCAAGGAATTGCTCTGTGAAATTAAGCCATACACAAAAATAAAAAACAAAAAAACCCAAAATGAACACAAAATGTACCAGCAAGTAAATAAAAAAGACCCTTAGAATCAGACAGTTAAATAAAAGAAACAAAATGGTAAGGTGAAAAGGCACTATTCAGACTAAATCCACAGAAAGTTTAGGGTGCTAACAAGGCAGGCAGCTACAGCCAGAATTAATTGTAAAAAAACAACCATGCACCTTCTGCTGTGTTTCCTCCTCTTCAGATTCCACCTATGTGAGCACGTGGCAAATTATCAAGAAAAGGAACCATTAACATACGCTTACAGACTAACGCAGAGGCTTCATCTCTTTGTAAATACTGCAAAGCGTGCTATATTTACAGACCTTTACTGTTTCGGCCCCAGATGTTGTTGAAATTATTAAGCGACTTTGGTCTTCCTTCACCTAAATTGCTGTAGAATGGCTGAAGTCATATTTGGCGTAAGTGGCATGAAAAATGGAAGTTTCACACTATGTCCCTTTCTTGCCGTACTTTTCAGTGTTTTCCCAGATGGAAATTTAAGAATGAGTAAAGAAAAGAATGATATGCGTAATTTCTATGGTAAGCGCCTTGAACTCTGCAACAAGTTGATGGGAAAATGGAACCTAATGCATGAGCTCTTTTGGTAAGAGAGTCTAGAATTCAAGCCGAACACCTCAATACTGGATTTACAAACTGTCCTAATTATTTTAAGAATGTTGCTGTCTTGGGATGAGTTATTTGCACCCCGCCCCTCCTTTTTAGGTTCTTCCCCAAACTGCAATGCACTCTGTTGGAAATGATAGCTAATCTTCATATCTTACCTACAAGTATTCTGACTGCCTTAAGGAGCAGCATTCTTTAAAAGGCAAACCACTTCCCAGTCTTTCCACAGGTACAAATATCAACTGCTCGTCTTAGGAAAAGATGCATTTAAAAGGCAACACTGTGCAAGTACATAAATTTGAAGAGGGGTTTACTTATTACACATACTGTTGCATTTTGGATTCTGTGTGAATGCACACATAATGTGGTACATATCACGTTTTTATTCATTTCTCACTTATCTGGGGTTCTGTTTTCTGCAACTTTATGTTACAAATGATGGATTGAATAAGGTTACAGAAACATTGAGAAAGTCTTTAAAGTCATGTTTTTCATTATTTCAGATTGGTGTTTTTAATGGCATCACGTCATATTTAGCATGTTTTTAATATGTACATTGTATTGATTTTATCAGTTTAACAAACTTTGTTAAATGTAACATTGAACAGGCCCTCCCCCTTTTTGATTCAATAATATTTGCTTTCATATTTCTTTGAAGATCAAAATAAACCACCTTTTTCTAGTGGTATTGCTGTAACATACACAGCAGACATAAGGGAAGGAGGCATTTTGTCAGCCACTCCAGCTGATCAGAGCAACATATTAGTGTGACTGAGCCTTCTGTACAGCAACTTTAACAGTGTATTTCAAAGAATGTTCAGACTCCAGTGATTAAAGTTGGACACAACCTGCAATTCCCAGCTAATGAACGAAATCAGTCTCCACCTTAACTGCTGCTAGAGATTAATCAAAGCACTTAACAAAAAAAAAAAAAAAAGTGCCTTGGACAGACTCAACTTTGCACACACCCTTGTAGAGCAGAAACATCTGGAATAACGAAAAAAAGCTGATTTTAAAGCATTCACAGTTTTCTGAATTCAGCTTTTAGGAATCTCTCTTTTCAGATCTAAAGAGAACTTTGGAGAGGTGCATTCCAGTCAATGCACACAGCAGACATGCAGTTTAACACAAACTCATAGTGCAAGTAGCACAACTTGCAAATAGTATCAAGTAATAATTTATCTATTATTACACAGCACTTTCAGTATTCAGATTTATGTGCTCATAAACATTTTGAACTACAAAGCAACTCTACCTGCAGCTCAGTATCTGTGGAATCTAATGAAATTATGCATGCTGTAGGAATTCAGGCAGAAAAAAACACCAGCTGTCTACTGACTAAAAATCCCGCAATGGCAATTTTTCACAAATGAGAGAAGTTAGAAAGATAGAGATAGACGTGTGTGTGTCTGTGTGTATTTCTATATATATAGGCATGTACATTGACATATCCCTGTGCTAGGAAGTGTGCAAAACTGAGCAAACCTCTGGGAGAACAAGCAACAAAAACCTATGTGCAAGTGTCAACATTTAAGCAACAAAATTACACACCTCCTCTTCCTCTGCTTTGTCATTCAGGTCATTGTCATTAGAGGCACTAAAGGAAGTCGCCTTAGGCTCCAGGTAGCAGAGGGACAGAGCAAGAGGAAGGGAAAATGTGAGTGAAAAAGGAATAGACTGGAAAGCAGACAGAAGTAGCACAAAGATAAGGAGAAAAGAGGGGATGAAGGAAGGAGAGGTAATAGGAATATAGTGCTGAAGGCCAGATGGGAGGAAAGAGATGCAAACATCAGGAAGGCTAGGAAAAGTAATATAACCGTCCTCATCGAGCAGTGAACGGAAATAAAAAGAAAAGCATCTAATAAAGCTGAATGAGACACACAACTCAGTGCTTTTGTAGTCATTTGTATGGATTTTTCCCTCCACAGCAGAGGAGCCTCCACTAGCTAGGCGTCTCATAGGTTCAAAGATATTATTCGGTGAAGCTATTTTGCTTTTATTATGATCTGGTGTTTCTTTCATGGAACTGCACTCTGAGATGTCTGGGATGGTAAGGAGAGGCTCCCCAAAGGTATCTTCCTCTGAGATATCTGAAAGCATGTCCATCTCAGGGACAGGCGACAGGTTTGTGAGATGGGATGACACAGAATGGATGGGTAGTGGTGATGGGTGTATGTGAGTGAGCTGAAGAAAAATATTCTGTGCACAGTGGAAAATGAAAGCGCAACAAAATGCAAGTTTGAAGGCACAAGAAGAGGGGAAAAAAAATAAATTATTAGTTAGTGAAAATTTTTACTTAGAAGCAGGGATAGCTCTACTAACGCAATAGAAATGCCAAATAAAAATAGAAATCCCCTTGTGTTTTACAAGCAGCCAACTTGTTTACTTCTGTGGATTATGAAAGGAACCCATTACGACTGTTTTGTTCTCAGGCTGTAAAGAACTGTGCACTTTTGAACTGTAATAGTCACAACAGATGGAAGCGGACAGATATTCAAAGCTTTGGCAGAAAGGTCAGGGGACAGTGCAGTACACGAAAGACAAGCTGGCACTTTGATTCTTGGTTTATAACCGTTTCCTCTAAGACTTAAAGAGAGCCAGAAAGGAAAAGAAGTATCTGCGCTAGGGGGGAAAGAAAGCTGTTCACAGAATTGGCATGTGTAACAAAATCTTACTGAACAGCTTCCTGAAACAACTTCCCAAAATACTGCTTGCTTTTTTTTTTTTTTCCTTTTGGTTAAAATATTGAAAGATACTGCCACTCTGAAAACAAGGGAGTATCACCATTTTACCAAGCCCAAAGTCAAAAAATAGTAATTTATTTTACCATTTTCTCCCATAAAGAAACTCTGTGTGTGCCTTTTTCCTAGGCTAATTCAAAATTATTTCAACTTGCCAGCAAACAAAAAAAATGCAACTGTTGTTGGTATTTGTTCCCTTCCTACACTTGAATGCAGTGGAAACATGCAAACCGCACAGAGAAACTCAGCAGTCCCCCGAGGAACCAAATGGGTAGCTAACTTGCAAAAATGTTTGAAAACAAAATTACTCTTTAAATACGAAAGAAAGTTCTGGAGAACTGCCAGAAAAAGAAATGATGTCCGAGAGAGAAGAGCAGCAGATTTTAGCTGACGCTTTGGAAGGAAATTGCTACATCAAATCATATGAGGTCTAAATTTAATTTTTTGACCTATTCCCCCAGTAGCTCAACTAAATAAAACAAATAAATGGTTGTTTGCAACAGCAACAGGCCAAACTACTCAACTTTTCACAGAAATCTATGTCTCAGTCAACATACAAGTTTTTAAAGGATGAAATAATTCTGCAGTGGCTACTAAAACAATACTGCTACCTATGGTAATTAAACACAGTCATAATCATAATATACCCAACTTTGTAGAATGTGCACAATATACTAACAATTTTTTTAAAGTCTAAACAAACTAAGGAAATGAATAAAACACTATTTACCCTTTGAAACATTTTTTCAAGAACTCATGTAAGCTTAGTGAGAATTCAAATTAAATTTATAGCAATAAAAGAAACCCTAGGTCAATGCCATTCAGAAGTTTGTATTCTTTTTTTGCTTACATACACGAACATTAAGTTAAACCTACAGAAAGCACTTGACAATTTTCCTTTAATATTTTAATATGGTGTTCTGTATGATGCTCAGAAGTGAGAGGCACTAAACAACCACACCTGGACACACACCACATGAACAAATAATTTTGGTGTGAAAGTCAGCCATACCTTTCCATCCTGAATCAATTCTAATTGAGGAGTTTTGATTGGGCTTCCGTCTTCTTCTCTGCCATCTTCTTTTAACTTGGCCTGACCAGCAGCTTCAATGTCAAGGATTTTATCTCCAGCAGCCTGCCCTCCAGGAGCAGGGAAGTCTCTCAACAGACTTTGATCTGAGATACCCATGGGAGCTATTAGAGAAGAAAATAATTTTGGTAAATTGGGGTAAGTTGGAACATTTTGTTTTTAAGACTTCTTAACAAAATGATTTTATGGTTATGTCAGCAATGAGCAATACAGGCTAGTTACTCAGTGATACAGTATTTTTCAGCCTCTTGGCTTTGCAAAAGGTCTGTGGTTCTCATTGCACTGATATGAACAGCAATGTACCCTTGTCATACAATGTCACTTACTATGCAAGGGAAAAAACCCTTCATTATATCAGGTAGGTATTTAATTATCAACTTTCTGATTAGTCTTGGAAGACAAATTGAAGGTACTTTTCTTGTGACTATGTAAGTCACCATAACAAGAGAGAGGAATAGGCAACAGTGTTTTGTGGAAATCCACTAATTTGAGAGGACTGTTTTAAGGCAATATAGAAATAGCTATGCATATAACTGTTCCAGCATTTTTCTTCCGGAACCTTAGCAAAACTGCAGAAACAACAGCTCAGTGAAAGTAAGACTATTCCTCCCTATATGCTCACAAAAAATGGAAGGGGTAAATACTGAATATGTGTACCTGAATATAGTCAAAGCACAAGAGAGTGAAAGGCCTTAAATTAGTTTTTTCTCTTATTTGATTCAGCATAATGGGATTAATGAGCAGGATGGCTTTTTTTTTTTTTTAACCAGGATGACTGGCTCAGTCAAAACATTAGCAATGAAATACAGGAGAATTCATTAAATTACGCAGCTTTAATAAACACAACTTTGATATAAACTTCATTCATTTAGCAATCTTCTGTAATACCTCCATATGCCTTGACTTTACAAAGCCAAGGTGCAGAAAGTTGAGAGGAAGAGGCGTTTCTTGGAGTACCTTTGGCGGATATCCTCTTTTGAAAACAGTCTCAGCTTCAGATCAGAGATTCCCTTAAGCTGCTAAGAAGCCAAGGCCAGCTAATGGGAAACGTGGGATTTGGGACGTTAGGCTTTCAGGGCCTTTCTAAGTAGTAAGTTCTGCAATTTAAGCTTCTGATCCCTTCTTGGGTGGCAAATAGAGCATTTCTTGGGTATACATCCCTCAAGTTCCACAAGTAACTTCTGACAAATCACAGAATAATTTAGGTTGGAAGGAACACCTGGAGGTCAGCTAGTCCAACCCCCTGCTCAGAGCAGGTGCAATTAGACGAGGTTGCTCAGGGACTTGTCCAGTTGACTTTTGAGCATATCCAAAGTCTTTTTAAACAACAACAAAAAATTCTTATTTCTAACTGAAATTTGCTGTGTCTCAACTTGCAGGCACTCCCACTGCCATATCACTGGGCACCTCCGAGAAAAGTGTGGCTCTGTCTTTTCTATACCTTCCCTGTAGGTAGCCGTAGACAGCAATATCTCACTAAGAAGAGAAGGCTGTAAAGCCAAAGGACCACAGTTCTCTCAGCCTCTCCTCATATATTATGGGCCCCCAGCCCTCTGGCCAGCTTGGTGGCCCTTACTGGGCTCACTGCAATATGTCGATGCCCATCTAATACCGGGGAGCTCAAAGATGGACACAGTACTCCAGATATGGTCTTCACAAAGTCCTGAATAGAGGAATAATAATTTCTTTTAATGTGTTGGCTATGCTCTTGCTAATACAGCCCAGAATATACTTGGCCGCCTTTGCTGTAAGGGCATGCTGTTGACTCATGTTCAACTTCTCCAGCGGGAGTCCCCAGATTCTTTTCTGCAAAGCTGCTTTCAGTGCAGTTGGTCCCTCAGCATGTACTGGTGTATGGTGTTACTCCTCCTCAGACACAGGATTTTGCATTTATTTTTGTTGTATTTCATAAGCTTCCTTTCAGCCCATTCCTCCAGCATGCTGCAGTCCCTCTAGTGAGGGCGAGGTGGGAGTGGGGCAAGAGTAACGCCTACAAGGATGAGTATGCAGCTCTAGGTGTTTGGGATGAACAATGGTACTGCATATGCTGCTCACATAGGAGAGGCAGAGTGCAAGCACATTCTCTACAGGATTTCTCGTTTCAAGTGTACACTCACAGTATGAACCTACATCTGGACTACTGCCTGAAGAAAGAACAATATTTAAGTTTGACTTTGAATGAACACAGTTTAAAACTATTACAAGTCTGCAGATGGCAACACCAGCAAGATGCCTTAAATGCTGCCAGGAATAGCTGGTTTCATTTGAGATGAAACCAAAGATGATTAAGGGGAAAAAAAGGAAAACCAAGAGCAATGTTTCATCATGCTCAAAATTTTGTCTGTGATGGCTCCGTAAGAGTGAAAGTTTGGGCCTGAACACGCATACATACACATCCGTATTCTTCAGATGATGCACAAGGGATCTCAGAAAGGCTTGCTGATACAATCTCCGAGAGTTGGGCAGAAATCAAATTGTTTCTAACCAAAAGTAGCACAGGAACTAAAACCAACTCTGACAGTAATGCTGATGTGGCAACAAGGCTTTTGGTTGCCACAAGGACTCATCACACACTACTAGTGCAACCGCTTTTGCCTCTTTATTTTTTTGCTTAGGTTCTCAGACGTAAGACTTTGTAGGTTTCCCAAGCAAGTGTCACAGTTTGCTCATTTGTCCCAGTACAGAAGAATGAATATCTGCAGAAGTAAAAGTCTTCTAAGTAAAAGATTTTTGGAGAAAAAAGGTAAAGTTAACAGGAGAATTGTAGCTGAAGTCATACCATTGCCACAGTTCTCTTATTGATTCAGGCATACAGAACTTCACTAGAATAAACGTCAAGCTTCACATAATTTTTCTGAAGAATTTTTCTACCTTAGATTTATTTCAGAAGTGATTTAGAGTAAAACATGTGCTTCCACATCTCTCACTCATACTGCTGCTATACCTGCTTTTGGAAAGCATGCCTGTTTCCAATAAAGGAAAGCAGAAGTATTTTTGCTCAAAGAGACCAACCACCATTAATGACACAAAAATTTGGGCTATTCAAACAACCTCAATATAAAATTTGTTAACTAAACACAGAAGTAACTAATAAATACACTAGGATAAAAATATACTGAACAAAATGATACAAAACTAGAAGAAAAAAAACTTTTTCTACCTTTTCTGTTTGGTGTAGAGAGGCACTCAGGCCCACCCAGAGCCCAAAAGATGCCACTGACTAAACAATTCTAATCAACAGCATATAATGCATGTCTATCCCAGAAAGCAGATATGAGTAGTGAACACAGATGCTGTGTCCCCAATATAGAATCCTCCATATATTCACAGCACTGCCATACAATTTAGACAGTGACTTAACTTACTGTTTAAGTCACCTAAAATTGACAAGTAAGCAATGGGGCTGCTCCTCACATCACCCATCAGAAACTGAAATTCATGTATTTGTCAATTGACATTCTGGCCATCCGTAACGGCAACATTTTTGAATAGCGGTCAGATCAGAGTGATAACACATAATGTAATCATTACACTGAAGAAATAAGTAAAATTTCATACCTCCATCAAGGCTCCTGGAAACACGTTTGCTTGAAGTGCGCTCAAAGTATGGAGCTGGTCTGTCTATGAGGTTGCTAGCCTGTCGTGTCTGTGCTTGCGTACGTCCACTGTAGCGGAACTTGGAACCCAACGTTAGAAACTTTGCTTTTGGAGGCTGTTCTGGTGATACAAGTCTAAAAAGTAAATATGAGGGAAGTCAGTTAAAAAGGCTTTATTTTATGTATTTAATGAGGTACTTTAAAGCTACTTATTACGTTTCAAATTTAGTTCACCATACATGATTTATGCACTCCAAGAAAGGATTCTGCCATAAGCTCTGAGAAGAACTTCTAAAACAATGCATGTTATTTATTACTTGCAGTTGGAACTGAAGTGATGCTGATAACCATCACATTTTCCACAGCATGACTAAGCATCTGGGATGCTTATCTTTTCGTGCTATCTTGGTTTAATGGTATTTTTTCTAGAAAGCTGAGGCCATTATAGGTCCATGTAGAATACCTCATAGATCTCTCTCCTCAGAATGTTACTTATAGTAGAAACTACACATCCCACTTCCACTGTCTTTCCTATATTGTGAGATACTGATACGGCAGCTGCTATTCCTCAAAGTTAGGGAATGGCATCTCAAAGCTGTGTAGAAGGCTGTATCAAATGAAAAAAGATTGAGCTTCACAATGTCATTTATGGACTTGTGTGAGCTGATGCTTGCTGGATGTAAAGAGGGGGGGAAAAAAAGCATATCATGAAAAAGGTGAAAGAGATTCAGTTACAAGTACTATTAATGCGGGGTATGTATGTTTGTACCTAAGTGTTAATGTCAGAAAGTCTAAGTAATAATATGGCAGAATTTGCTATGAGGAATTCTGCTTTGTTCCACTGGTTTTTGACACCTCCTGAGTTCGAAGAGACAGGTCCTCTATACCTCCCTAAATTTTCTTCAGTATGAGGACTTCAAGCTCTTATTCATCTAACCCTCATTGCTCGTACTTTGTTTTTGAAATCTAAGCCATCAGCTTCAACACTGAGGGTACTGTTTGTTCCAGTGCCATCCTTGCTGATAGGATAAACAGTCATCACTGCAGGAACTCTTCCCAGTCTCAGCTTCTCTAGAAAGGTCTTTGATGTTGCTCCTTGGATCAATGTAGCGCTGCAGATGCATGCTTACCCAGCATGGCAGTCTCCATGGCCTATTCTCCCTCTATAAAACCATCATACTATTACAGAAAGAGCTTTTCTATTTGAGGATCTGCAAAGAATGAGAAGCTCACTGCGCATCAGCTTTTTTCAAGCAGAACCAGCAACTACTGTACCCTTTGTACTCAGGATGGCACAGATGGGCAAGTGAGACTTAAAAGTATGCTGACTTTTGAAGCATTTGCACAGGGAATATCTGTGTCAGTGGAACCTGATCCAACATACAGTAAGACAGCATCCAGTGGTGGGTTCTGAAAATGGACAGTCATTCTAAAGATATTTCAGCAAAACTGAAGAATTTTCAGATACTTAACAAAAAGAATGGTGAGCTAGGTAGTAGGTTACCGTTTTCTCTAAGAGAGGATGTTTATGGCTTTGTCAGAGTGCTAGCCAGAAAGGTCCAATCCTGCGTGCCTAAGATGCATATGCGTGCACCTGAATCCTAATCTGTTCCAACACATTTTTTCAAAAAAAAAACAGAATTCAAGACAGACTTATCCACCATTCTGCACTAAGGCCACTTATATAATAAAATCACAAGTATCTGGAGCTTCACTTTCATTGCTTCTATAAAACAGCGTTATGCAATCTTTGTGACAATTTATTTCTCCACATTATTTCCAAGAGAGAGTGCATTATGCATTAAGAGGAAGAAGGCTAAGAGGGTTTTTCCAAGGTTCTTTCTGTTCTTTTCCAGTCTTGGCAAGGCTACAGCATTCACTGCCATTTTTATCTTCCACCCTGCTGAGATAAACTTTTAATCTTTTCAAGGGGAAAAACAAGAGAACTAATTACTTCCTGATTAAGGGCATTTGAATGGATTTTTTGTATTACAAGCTTAATTACATAAAATAACTGAAGACTATGCTTTTACCATTTTAAGACGTTCTGGGGAGACACTGAAACAATCATGAAAATTTCAAATAAAACATTATAAAGCAGAATTATAAGCAGGTTTCTGCAGCCATTTGTTAAGATTCAGAGCTGCAGACTAAGCTTACCTCAAAAGATTAATGTAGTCTGACTGTATTTCTTAAATCAGATTGTTGCTCTTTGAAAATGTTACTGGAATCCTATAAGGTTGAGCTGATGCAAGTGAATTCAATGCCTTTTGGTTGTCATTTTCTATACAGTTCATTACAGGTTTTTATAAATAACTTCATATGCTGTCTGAATTTCCCATACATTATAAGATGATGAATGTTAATGTAATTATTTGAGAAAAACTGAAACATTGCGAAAGACAACACAAGGAAACTTACAATGTTATATAGGGCGTGCTAAGAGATCTGGAAGCTAAAAATGTACATCTAGACTGAATACAATTTTCTGTGATATCATACACAAGCTTTACACATGCTCTGAAAGAGCTACAGTCTCTTGGACTGTGGCAATTGTTTTCTACTTATTAACTTTGGAGAAAAATAGAGCTGGATTTATTTTACTGGTTTTAAATCAGGATGAGAGGTTCTGAGGATTTTCTGTCTGATGACATCAGTGGAGTATATGGATTTTACAGAATGGTTCAAATATTTGTTATATAATTCTCATTATAATGTCATTCCTGATTAGGAGAAGACACTTCTGACTGGAATAAAATCCAATTATTCTTATTATGTCAGAATTTATGTAGTAAAATTATCTAATACGCTCCTGGAAACTTATATTTGCAAATGGTAGTTCTCAGTTTAGGATTTTTGACTTCCATAAGATTTGTTTTTTCCATATTCAGGTCCATATTATTACCATAAAATTAGGAAATACAGTTTCCCAGCAAAGCAAACCACTGCATGATTATTTGAAGGGCGTCGATAAACTTTTCATTGCAGACAGAACTGCATGCCATTTGTGGTAACGGACATCACCAGCCAAAGCAGACTTCAAATTTTAAAGAACAGAATGGTGGACTATGTATCTTAATAAACCTAACCAATGAATTATATCAAACATGAAAAAAAATCTTTGATCAGGATATCAAAAAGAAGTGCTTCTAAATTAAGTATTTTGAGACTGACTGCCAATCTCACCACAAATTCTAATATTGCATTCAAGAATATTCTGCATTCAATGAAAAACTGAACACTGAAAACCATCCAGTGAGAGTTCCACTAATGACCTGCTTAGGTCTCACGTTCCCCAAGTTCTTGCAAGATCTTAGTCTAGCAAGTATATTCAGCTTAGACCAGTATGCAAAGACAGGATTGCATCTATCTGTAAACACAATTGCTTTTTTAAAACTAAAAACCAGGCTGCTGAAGAAGAAAGCTTACCTTTTACATGCCCTAGTTACCATGCTCATTTGAAGCAAGAAACTCAGATTCAATGCGTAACAGATTCAGCCTAAATCTGTGACTCCTAGGCTGCATGGGGCACATGCGCTCCCTCCTGGAGTTTGTGCTATTTTACAAATCAAATGAAGATTTTTCAAATTCCTTTTCAATGGAGGAAGTAGAAACAACTCTGTAGCCTATTGTTAAAGTGCTCATATACAAATAGACCGCAGTTTCAATGACCAATTCAGAATTTTATGTTTATCAGTTACTGGGGAAAAAATGCAAAGAAAATTATGGATTATTATATAAACAAATAGTAGTCTGTTTTTAAAGTGATTCTCTGTTCTTTAAAGAATGACTGTGAGCCCAGCTCAGTTTATAAATAAGCAAAAATTCAGCTGTAAGCATTTACACTCAGCAGAATATTCTGAAAAGTGAAGTGAATGAAGATCACTGTCAGGCCCTGAGAGCTTCTTGTGAAGGAGTATAGTGGCTTTCTAGACGGTCACTCTGAAGAATCGATCTCTCAGCAAGTCTTACATATGATCACTAGTTTAGTTCCATACTGTTAGCACTCTGAAAGTTTAAATAAAACAGTTAATTGTACTTCAGAGCTTCAGAATTCGTAATTTGGGGTCAATGATCGCTATGGTGTCTTCTAAGAGGTGTTATTGGACTGAGAAATTAGATTCAAAGAGGAGGGGAAACCTTCTCTGTTTTCCTCATAGCCTTTCAAAGAAAGATATGAGCATACCTGGGAAAGTGGGGGAAGCAGAGAATTACCTGAAGAAAGTATGGTGCTCCACACAAACCTTCCATAACCTTTTTGCAGCGCGATGGTTTGGCAGTTTGAACCCAATAGTACTCTCAAACTGTTCCAGCTGGAAAGAATCCACAAATAAATTAACCCATTTCCTTAAGCTGGCTATTAACTAGCAGGCAGAGTTCAGATAGTTCCATAACTGTAACAAGCTGTAATTCTCCTCTCATAAGACTTCATAAGATGTAAAAAAAAAATAAAATCAGAATTTCAGAATAGCCTTTTAATAAAATTATACTTGGCAGGCTAGTCATGATGGGTAATAATCACATTATCGCTTCCTAGCTGTATTAATGACTCTCTCAAGAAATCCAATAATACTTCAGTGTTCCTTGCTAATTTTCTGACTAGCTGCCCAATGTATTTATTTCTAAACTGCATGAAGTAATTATATTGCAGGTTGTGCTGCACACTTTCCTTGGATTTAATAAAAGTCTGAAATCCATACTGCAGTGTTAAGCTTACCTGATCTGTTTCACTATATAATAGTTTCTTAGCAAAAATATTACATCTATGCACCATCAGTGAGTGCAAGAGCAATACATCTGTGTTCCAAAACTTACAAAACTATGTTTGTATTGTACTGTTGGTATTTAGACTTCTCTTTTGTTTTATTTATTCACACAGTAAAAGCTACCTTAAACATTTTAGAGTATAATTTAAAAAAGCATTATAGTGTTTGACATTTTGTTTTTCTGCAAAATTTCCAGTTACAATGTGTTCAAAATGTAACCCCCCCCCTCCTTCAGGAACTCCCACAAACTTATAATGGTATCCGAAAAGAAAGTTGAATTCACTATTTCCACAGCAGCTAACAGAAAGAGTTATAACATCCACAGGACAACTCAAGCCTTTGGTTACACCCATACAGCTAGATGCGTTGACATTTAGTGAACAATTATACCCAAAAAGGAAGAGACTGGCTCTCCCCCAGGACTGCAAGTTTGTATAGACAGTAAGAACATGGCCAGTGTAACTAGCTTTCCTTGTAAAAAAAAGTTACAGGATGGCATCTATTAACAAAAGAAAATAGATTTTCTTCCTGGTTTGCATTTACTAATCAAGACAAGCGTTTAATACAATCAGTAGAATTTGAAGAGGAAAATAAAACCCTCTTAAGTTCTGCTCCAATCCAACAGAAGCCTGTTAGGACATCTGGGAAAAAAAATGACGCTGTTATCTTGTTGCTGGATAGAAATGATCTCACAAAAGAAACAAGGCAGAAAGGTACTACTTACTTCTGCTGGCCTGACTTTGATGTAGAAATTACTTCGCTTATAGGAAATCTTCAGAATTTTTGGCCAAGCAAAGCGGTTGATCCGGAGTCTATCTTTGTAAATGAGCAGTCCATTAGCACATACACCCAGCATGATATCCACACCTTCAGAATCCTATCACGTATGAGACAATTTCATAAAAATCAGTTTAATAACATTCCAAACAAGTAATTATTGCTGGCATACCTTGAGGGAATAAAGCAACTGGGACTCATTTCATATTCAAACGTGAAAGACCCTGACAATAGGATTTGTAAAGCAGAAACAGCCAAGTATATTAATTTTATAGGAAAGGTTTTGGACTCTTAAGTAATGGCTTTGGCACTCATATGCCATTGCGTATGTCACAGTTCTGGGAAATTCTTCAATATTCTGGCAACAGGGACTAAGTCAACAACTCACAAGCAGTGAAAGGTATGGTGGGTGTGCTATCAATAATTTCAAGAAACATTAAAAGAAGAAAAATTAAAAACAGGCCTTCGAACTTAAACCAGTCAGGGGAAGTCTGAACAAGTTCGTGATCATGGTGATCTTTTACAGTTACCTATTATTCCAGTAAAGATATAGGAAGGACTGGATAGTTGGCTGAAAACGTCAACATAATGACTTTGAAGTGCTGGTGGCCCAGGTCTCTGAGCATTCTGTTCTACTGACAGCATTTGATGCAAGTTTTACAGGCTACTAAACTAATGACTTACTGATAAAGCTTCAATACACTGTACCACTACACAGTACAGCAGAATCTCATGTCCTCCCCAACAACAAATCAACTACATCAAATGCCAATACTGTCATTAAAAAGTTGCTTCACTGGCATAACTAACAGCTGCAAGTGAATCCTGGCAAACAGCAGTTCTAATGCTTGCAGCTACTTCACTATGGCAAAAGAAAGCTCCAATAAAACTCTAAAAATCTAAGTTCCTTAAAACACTACAGACCAAGTGAACTGCCACACTGCACTTGTATTAAAAGATGAATAAATGCTACAGACGTAGTTAATGTACATGAATAAAAACTTAAGTATATTTCTTTCAAGTGCTTCTAACAGAACACAGAAAAAAAGTCTATGGAAAACTGCAAAAACAAGTGCACATTGTTTCCGTATGAAACAGAGTTAAACAATGTTTCTCCAGTACTTAAAAATCTTGGTTTTCTTTTTTAAATATAAGACTGATATGCTTACAATGCATTAGTTTTCCTAATGATTTGAGACCTGGATTTGTGCGAGGGAGTGGGAGGGGGTTGGTTAGTTGGTTTGTTGGGTTTTTAACCAAAAAAATCCCACTACAAATGCAAATTTGATTTGACCTACACAGAGGAGTGGAAAAAGCTCCAAAAAACACCCTCCCGCAAGACCTCCCCGCCTGCTCTGTTTGTATCTGTCATGGTATTACAAAAGCAATTACATGTTCTTTTAGGCTTTACTTTATGGCCCCACGTCTCCTTGGCATCAAAAATCTGACATGTAAAAACCAGCTGCTCTTATGAATAAAATATTATTTCCAAGCTGCACATACATCTATGCATTAAACAAACTTAGATTTAAAATAAATTCTAAGGATGTTAGAGCTGTAAACTGAGTAATTATTGTGACCAAGAGATAAAAGGCTTATACCTAGGAATTGAAGGTATGAAATTTTTTACATAATCTATATATACTATGTTCTTTAATACTAAGCATGTGTATCCTAAAACAAAACAAAACCAAACCAATCCCCAATACCTTGGCATGATGTAAATCCACTCCATACATGGAGAGTCTCTTAGCATTTTCTAGGAACTGGGAATCCGCCTGTGCTGGAGTCAAGCCCCTAAAACCATTGAATAAGCCTTGAGTTTATTGACAAAAGAACTGAGAATCAAAAGTGAGTGGAATCCTGGAATTCAGACACATAGAAAAACCTCAGTTTGTAAGGTATCAATAGCATTTTTGCCCTAAAGGGAAAGTGTTCTTTCTGAGCATGTTATATTCCTTTAATAAAGATTTCTACCATCACTCTTTCAACATATTCTACCTGCATGTTGCTTAAACTAATTCATATGCTCAGATAAAAATATTTTCTCCAAAAGTTCTCTTCTGAGATCTTAGTGAAGCTACTATTTTCAAACTGAAATTTTTAAACACATGAAATTAAGAGGTTCTAGTTACATAGCAAAAGATTTCCAAAGTAACAATAACTTCAGCTTAGCAGTTTTACACATACTCTTAAGAGAATTGACATAAACTTGACAAAGCATGATGATTTCATTTAATCCCACTGTATCTGACACACCTGTGTGTTTTGTGTAGCTCAGCTACTTTTTCTTCCATTTCTTGAGTTTGATTGGGTGCAAATTGGAATTCACTGATATAGTCACTGCTGTGCTCCTCTGGGTCATGATCACCCAGCTCAGCCTGCAGGGTATATGAACCAAGGAGGGCATGAGTCACAAAGGAACATGGCAGTCGACCAGAAGCAATATCCTGACGAAGCTGTAGGCACAAGAAATATCTGCAAGACAAAGGAAAGGGGAAAAAACCAAACAAATGAAAACAAGAACAGAGAAAGTGTTACCAATGGCAAGTTTATGAGAGAGACAGCAGAATTTATCGAGATGCATGTAATCATATAAACATATTTTAAAGTAAGCCAATGCATCAATAATTTGTTACACCTTACGTTATTTGAGCATTATTGCCACACAGTAAATTTCCCTTCCATTTTTAAGAGTTGATATTACTTTCATAAATAACGTGAAGAGAAGGAAAAATTCTGATTTCCAACATAAATGAATGAAAAACACTACCTAGTTTGTAACAAAAGCTGACTTAGGAACTCCTTCATTTCACATTGTAGCCTGCAGGTATCTAAGGTTTACAAATAAAAACCCATGCATTTCCTTTGACATTTCCCTTTGGCTTTAAAATTCTGAATTTTATATCCCTTGCAGTTCACAAGCTAATCGAGTCATGTAATACACAAAAGAAATCCTGTTTAATACTGAACCCATAATTGCCTTCCTTAAACCATGTATGTATTAGGATTTAATATTTCAGGTACTGCATACAGTCTTCTACCAAATTTAACAACTTAACAATGAGTAGACATCCTATCCTAGCACAACTTTTTAATGTAAATAAAAAAAAAGTTTTACAAATGAAGCTTAAATTTTAAGGAATTTAGCTTTAAGCTATAACCATAAAAATGCTTTTATCAGTTTCAAGTGCAACTGAAAACCAACCAACTCACCGAAAATTTTCAAAGAAAACACAGACAGCTTCTTTAAATACACTGCGTACTAAATGTCTCAGACTATTTGTAGTAATATATCAGCTACACACTTGCGTAGCTATCTTATTTTGTGCAGAAGACTGATCCAATGCGATGTGTAGTAACATATATCCTGCCTCAGCAGAGTCTGCTAACTCCAAACCAAATCTAAGCATTTAGGTTTTCCATAACTCCTGAAAAAATGAGTGTCATCAATTCCCTGCATTCTATCCACTGGTTATGTTAGTCTTGCAATGCTAGTTTTTATGTGCCTAGTATCCACTGCATTCTAAGTATTTTGTATTTGAGAACTTTGGAAGAGAATTATTTTCAGATTTTAGTATGTTTTATGGTTTTATTTAATGCATATGTATAAAACTATGTTTTCACCAACCTAGCCTAGATTATTACTGAAGTACCTTGGATCTCTTGAGCTTCGCTCTGAATATCAATACTCCCGCACTCTCATTTGCTATATAATAAAGCAGCAGCCTGACAATAAGCCACTGGCTTCTTTCAAATATGATCATTCACATCTTACCTCCTGCCCAAATCATATCCCCACTTATCATTAAATCCTTTTTTCTTGGGTTTCTTCCTGAAGAAGAAACTTTGCCACTTTGCCTTTTCAACCTTTTTCCAAAAAGCAGTTGATGTAAGAACATCTATAGTGTTCTACAGTAAAAGCCAAACCTGTTACGGCATCCAGAAACTGAAGAAGAAATTTTATATGGCCTTCAAATTAGAGTAACAGTAATTTTTAAGTTTAAAATTAGAAACTATGCATACCTAGTGATGTCTTCAGTCAACTGTGAAGGATCAGGGGGATAAAACTTCACATTAAAGGTGAACATCCAAGGTAAACCTAAATATGGGAAATGTCTGATTGTTAATCTCAAACAAGTTGAAGAAAGCAAAGAAAGAACCTTACTGAAAAATGTTAGGCAGTCACATAAATCTTAGATCACTGAAATCCTGAAGGAAGTTTTCTCCCTCTTTTTACAGTATACTAGTAAGAAGCATAGGTTATTTTCATTATCAGGTAGTAACTCATATAGACATACAGTGAAAGATTAGCATGTTAAAAATTATCTTCAAAGAATGTTTTACAATAAGTTATGCAAATATCAGAAGACTTTTTAATTTGAAAACTACCATAATATATTAACACTTTTAAGATAATCTGCATTCAAAGACACTTGCACAGAATTTGTGTTTATTTCCAAATCCTCCAAGGCTAACCATCTCCTCCTGTTTAAATTGACTGTCAGTTTGAGAGACTGTACAATAACTATAAACAGGAGATGTCAAAATGAGGTCTGCGTTGGGTACAACAGAAAGATAATAAGTGAATTATACATACTCATAAAAAATGCATGGAAGACAAAAAATATTAGCCATTCCTCCTTTAAAATATTTTTTTGAGAAACAATACCTTTAGCAACTGTAATAGCAATGTAATTAGAACAATGATAACTTTGTTTCCAAAATAAGGCAGGACTCCTTAAATGAGAAAGCCTAATTTATCAGATGTACATATAGTACTGAACTGGGTAAAATATGCCTCATTGCATCATCTACTGAAATCCAATGAAAGATAAAATTAAGACAAAAATACCTTTAAAAAATGTCTAATGCTAATTAACACATACAGCATGACAAACAGAACTAAACCTGGAAAAGATTAGCCCACTTCCATCATTTATCTCCCAGGGAATTAGCATCATTTAGTGAAAAGCTGTTGATATTGAGTAAGCCAAATTGATGAAGGGAAGCAATCAGGCCAAAATATCTATGTAAAATGTGTTCAGGAAGAGTTGTCAAGTTAACAGGGCTGTGGGATGGGGAGAGGTGGATGAAGGATGTGTCCTTCCATGCAGGTATTAAACCAGTCTTCAAGTTTTCCTGTAATGAAGCAATGTTTCCTGGTATGGAGCAATTTTTCCTGGTGTAAAATTGCAGTTAAACTAGTCGCAAATGAAAAAGAGCGTAAGTCCTCTGAATGTATAGACTATGTGAAAAATTTCAGATGTCTACTCATACTAATTCCATAGCTAATCCATTGAAAAAATGTTGTAGTTGACTTTGTATTAAATATTTTCTGGACAGTTGGTGACCTTATATTTTGCCTGATTACTGAAAGCACATTTATCCCCTGAATATAGACTAGCAAGTATATTACAATGTGCACAGTCTATATTTACGCTTCTCACTACAGCACACTGTTTATAGCCACATAACCAAGGCATACAAACGTAATTGTCTTCACACAATAATGCACATTATTACTGGCGCTTTGAATTGGTGGCCAAGACAAAAAAATAAATAAATCTGATATTTAAAATGATATTTAGCATTCTGTCCCTGATAAGGCTCTCTGTTTTGATGTTTAATAATATGGGCTATAGAAATGTCAAAAATCTTTCTAGCCAGCTTGTTACCTCAAAAATGCTTCTGTGGCAACTTTAGGCACATTCTTAGAGAAAAAGAATGCAATATAACCAAACAGCTAGCAGCATACCATTAGCATGATTCATCCCATTTAAACTGGGAAATCAGTGAGGGTTTTTTTCCAGTAAAGGCTTTTTCTGGCTTTTATTCATGATATCTCTTGTGTCTCAGTTAAAAATTTTTAGGGTACTGTGTGACTAGGACAGATACGCTACTCACAGGCAGATGTAAAAATGCCCCATAAAATTAAGAAAATTGCTTCTATAATTTTTCTTAAATTACCATCAAGAAAATCAAAGAAATAAGGAAGCTCTATATCCAGTCCACATTTTCAAAAATGCATAAAAAGTAGAGTACAGACAGTCCTGGTTAGACTGACAAGATTCAGCTCACAAACTCAGACATCTCCAAACTGCAAAATCATTCTTTATAATTAGTAGACATACAGAAGCACTTCTGCAGCACAACCCTTCCCTTGCCACAGGTGCTTAGTTCTCTTCACCAACAATAAGCTAGCCTCTAGTGTATTTAGCTTAGATCAAAATTAGCTACAACTTCTACAGATATATATTTACCTGAAATAGATGGATATAAAATAAAGTGACCCTGCATAAAGTGACCCTCATATTTTGATGCCTGAGCATAACCATACGTTTTGTTAGCATTAAAATCAGATAGCCAGAGCTGTACATTTAAAATGCAAGCCCTTTCCTTAATTAATTCTAACTTCCCTTAGCACTTCAAATACAAACTTTAGATTTCTTAAATATTTTAGAACATTGTGCTGAACAATTCTAGAACTCATGTTATATTAATCTCACAGAATTGTATTTATGAATTTTTCTCCATTTGGTCTACTGTGTATTTTGAAAGTATACCTATTTAACAATATCATTAGTCTTCTATTAGTCTTCATCCTCTTTCCCGAGCAGTTGTTTAGGCTGTGTTGCAGAATATATCACAGAAGCAAGAATATAAAAAAATCGATTTCAACTCCGTGACATTCCCAGAACTACCTTAGTTGTTAGCTAAGTATGTCTCAAAGACTAGGCCAGTATTGCATTTGGCTGGTTTTAAGTTCCCCAGTCTGAATGACTGGATACCCGTTAACAAAAGGATGTTGAGAAGAGTCTTCAGCATGATTAAAGAGAAAGGTTTAAACTTATAGCCAAAGATTTGTCACCAGCTGCCTTACCTATTGTACTATTTCATCTGTTCTAATCCACTTCCATAAAATTACAGAGGATTTCCCTCACCCCCCTAGATAATTAAACTGAATCAAGTAACAAGCAAGTTAAATTTTCTGTCTTCAGTCCTTCAGTTAGTCACTCCTTTCTAAAAAGAAAATAACTTTTCTATCATCATAACCATTATCTCTTTTGATGCTAGTGGACATAGTTTCTTTCAACCCTAGACTGCAGAGATGTAATTATGTACCTAAGACACCACCGACTCCCTTCGTAGGCAATGGAAGAAAAGGGGCATTTCATTTGGTTCCCCTCTCAGGCACCTATTTCAGAATGCGCTCACTCACCTCCTGAAAGTGGCTGTTCCTTCAAAGAACAAGCGCATTTACCTTAGGTGGACACAGTTAACCTAAATTAGATCACATCAGTCATATCCTGGGTACAGTGATAAGTTTCTAGAATCTTCCTGGCTAAATAAGTATTGTCTTGACAAAAGACAGTAAGACAATTTTACGGTTAACTTCAAGAGCAAAAACAGTTAAATGTATCCTTTATCAGGTGAGAATGTACAAAAACCCCCTATACCACTCTATTCTGCCCTCAGAACATGGAAATCCTCTCCATTTCTTATACAACACAGGATATGCAATATGGAAGAATTTTTTGCAATAAAAATACTAATTGTGCTGCAGATTGGAAATGGATTTAATTGACATAACATTAACTTGGATTTAAAGTATTCTGCACAGCATACAAGTCTAATTTCCACGTGGAAGAGAATGAATTACATCCACACCAAAACCAGGATATATCCCAAAAATAGTTTCAAAGTTTGTGTGAACAGAAAGATAACCAGGCCTATAAGTCTGTTTCATATACTTCAATTACACAAACAATAAAAGCAAATAATTAGGCTTCCCAAAACAGATGGTTTATACATTCACATCTCTAACCTTTACTCGTAACTGTGAACATTTAAATTGCTGACAAAAGATTAATCTTCAATTGCAATAAACACTATGATGAAACCAGGTTTATGTAGTTTAGTCATTCAATTCTGTTACACTGAGAATGAGAGTTATGAAAATACCTATAGACAAAACTGAGCGGAATATCATGTGTTCCATACTAACTGCATGTACAACATCTCACACAGATAAATTCTCAAATTAAATTTTATATAAGGGCGAACCACCACACGTTCTGCGAAGTCTGGGATTTGACTATTCCAAGGTCAATTGCTACTGCTTGTACCATCACAATATTCAAGCTGAAGTTCTTAATTTTACAAAAGCCTGAATCCACTTTAGATGTAGCAATTTTCAAGAAGATAGTGACAAAAATGTAATTACCCCACCTGTCCCTGATTGAATTAATTAAAGGTTTTAATGCATACCAGTGGATATCCAATTTCATCAGTTAAAAAAAGTCAAGAATTAAATTTCCTGAAGAGATCAGGCTGGCTGAAAGCAAACAAGCTTTTTGCCACCTTTGTAGCCCTGAGAACAGAGTCAGTAATTTGTGGATCATGTTCATTAGCCGAAGTAACATCAGTAGTTGCTGAGGTTCAACATAATTGCCCAGCCAAAGGCCAACCTGAACAAATAAGAGATTGCATAGAAGGCCTGAGGACCCTGACTTAGCAAGAGACAGCCTGATGCAGAACATGACTTGGGGGAGACTACAGGGTTCTTATTTCGTCTTCCCCAGTCACAGGTGGTATAGAGATGCCCACTGTGCAGAATATCGGTATTGTTCATATGTGAGAGACAGACAGAGGTTGTTATAAATATTAAGTTGCAAACTGACGTGCTGAACTCCACTTCCATATTTGTCACCTTTGTGTATTCAGATCAATGTATTTGTCCAGATATGCTTATCTAGCATGCTAGTGCTTCAGTTTGTGCTGTACAAGAGAAAAAGAAATGAGTTTCTTCATTTCAAATGAACGAGTAGATTTTACAGGTACCTTAAATTTATTATAATTTAGTATTTTTGTACACAGAATTTCCATTCTTGATTCAAAGACAAATATATTTAGAACTAAGCCTGAAACAAAGAAAAGCCTCATTACTTGACACTCATGTAGCTGGGGGATAAAATTTGTCTTTGCAGTACATTCCAATATCTGGAAACTTTAATACACTGCTTATGAGGAACACAACTGACATTATGCTGATTACTTGCAAATTGGTGTAAGCAAGTTTCATTTTAAAATCCTTAAAATGGTGTTCTTACTTGGTTGTTTGCCTTATACACTATGCCTATCAACTCTGAAGTGCTATAGACCAGAGAAAAAATTCCAGTCATGATGCCTAATTCAAGAAACTGGACTTGATCTCCAATATAAAATGTAGGTCTTCATGCTGTATGAAAAATCACATCTCCTTAAAATATTTTTGTAGTACATATTATATGGTATTAAAAAGTGTAGTGCATCCAAAAAATTTTCAGGTCAGGTCTTTACTCTTCAGATTCATGAAACTTACTTGTAGGCTATATAGCATGCAGATCACTACAGAAGACAGTAACAAAAAGTATCAATGTCCTCAATCTTTTGTCAAATATTAAAACCAAACAAAACAGCCTTTAGCCCATGTGTTCGGACAACTAATAGGTTTTTACTGAAGACCTGCAGAATAAGAAGTTACAATACCAGTGACTTTTCCTTAACTAAAAGGATGGCCCCTACTTGCGTAAGTATATTAGTACATTCATCATTTTAATAGGTCTAGCTTGGTTATGCAAGAGCATATTAGATCAAAAAAATAGTTTCCAAGGAAGCTTCTGTAACTTTCATTTCTTTACTGAAAATATAAACCACACCTTCCTAGTACAGGATTTCATCAATTGGGAAAGGTCTAAAGAAAACAGAATTAACACAGAATTTGTGGAAAAATGTGAGCGTTGGCTTAAAACAGGTAGTTAACAATAGTAAAGCAACTACCTGTTTATCATTGTAAATAACACACTGCTGTTCTTAATTACAAGTGCTCCCACTGGATCATATTCCCCAAAAAAGTTCCAAGTCAGTTTCTTAAATAACTTAAATTCTTGTTGTGTCGGAAGTGTAGACATGTAAATCTTACCATCACCATCTCCTCCCCACTTACATTTCTTATAAGGGACTACCAAAAGGTTTCCATCAAAAACAAAACAACAAAAAAAAAAACCTGCATTGGCCACAAATGAGTAAAGCAATGAGAAGAATTTCAGTAAGGGCAAGGGCTGTCTAGCACTTCTTAGTGGCTACTTATTTTGTGACATGTAGACTCAGGAAGAGTGTCTGTCTCCTAAATTTACTCTCCATTCACTCCCCTATCTACTACAAAAGCTACCTGGCTAGTGAAGAGTTTTGAGAGAGTTGTATGCAAACAGAGTAAAATAAATTACTCATTGTGTATTCAGTATAGGAAGTAGAAAAACTTTTCGCATGGATTCAGTCTGAAAAGCATTATAGCAAGATGTTCCAAGATTATGCTATTTCATTGATGGAACAGAGATGGACACATCAAAAAAGCCACTGCTGGACTGATCAGTATTGAAGAATACACATTTTCTGTAAGACTTTGATTCTCTTTTTATAGTTTCATATTCTTCTGGCGAGTCTTTGAAGTTAGAAAGTCCCTATAGCAACAACCATGACCATCTTTGCAAGATGACATTCTCCATCTCATAACCTAAATATCAGCCCAAACTTGAAAAACATCTACTGTTTCAGGATGCAAAAAGATCAAGTATTAGTCACATACAACACAGGAAAATTTTGGGGCAGCAGCCAGGATAATGATTAACTTCTACAGCACAAAGCTGAGTGATTCTTTCTCTCCTTTTTGGACAGTGGATAGAAATAGCAGCTTTGCTTTCTGTTCTAAGGCTGAATACATCATTATTTTAATGCTGTAAGTATACAATTTAGTCAACACCGAGGCTACTAAGTTTATGAAGAATATTTCTGTGAGGAAATAAAAGGAGCATAACATCTGAATACAGAAGTACTTACTTCGAATTTGTCTCTTAATTTCCTTCGAAGAATCTAGCCAGTTCTGAAAAAACAACACAACCAGCATTTAAATTCACTTCAGACTGAAGATGGTGAAGTAATTTCATTCAGTGCAGTTAAAGTTTGTATTGTTCAGACATCTGTTCTATTTTAAAATAACCCAGAGAATTCTAAAATTGAACTTGTGATTTGCTAGCAAGTCTCCCCACCCAGGCACATAAATGAAACTGCGTAATGCCACTCCCTTCATGGTTGTCTTATTGCTTTAGAGTATTTATGCCCTGTAATTTTAAAAAGTGGATAGTCTTCCAGTGGAGGTGGTCTAACAAATTACATTTGGCAGATGCAATTTTCTCTCATACTCCTTTTATTGACACAAACAGACTTTTCAGGAATGGCTATGTAATCTCTACACACTTGTGCTTACACACCCATGTAGAGTTACTTAAGACAATACTTCTCTTGAACTCCAGAGACTTATTATTGCCATCATTTATCTTAAGGCATATGCGTTTAGTTCTGATAACGTTCAAAAGTGCTTGGAAAGCCCTAATCAAATTTCATACTTTTTTTCTGACCTCCCCCAAAGCAAAGTTCTCTATGAACATGTGTTATGTTAACACTGATACACTGGCAAGGTTCAAGTCTATATACTCAGCTCTACTTTAGGCAATGCAAATAAAGTCGTTTTTTCATATTTAGATGCCTCACTATTAAATGTGATCTATCCCAATACCAAAAATATTTTTATATAATCTGTGCAACCTATTAAATAGCTCATAGCATTTCAGTTACTACTGATATGTGCAAAGAGACTTTTTTTGTGACTGATCATCCAAAAACATAGCTTTGGGAAGTGAGACTAAGAAATCAGTAATGTATATTCATCAGTAACTCAGACAATCCTGTTTACTAATTTTACCCATAGATGTTAGAGAATAGATAGAGTGAGAGACTAGAAACATAAGCCTTTTAACTGCAGTTACTGAGAATTTACTTTATACAGTGTTTGAACCTTTATTTCCCACGGCCAGACACGCATACACAAGCATATACGTGGAAGAAACACACATGCACACAACCAGCCTGCCAGCAGCACTTAGCACACTTCAAAGACAGAGATGTGCAAAGTAGGGAAGAATTAGCAACTGACTTGTAAGGTCAAGGACAACATTTGCATTTGCAAACCACTGCACATATTAGCAGCTTTAAAGTCGGAGGAGACCTCAGTGCCAGGACAAATGTTGCTAAAGGCATATCTCTACCAGTGTTTCTTGCCTAATGTAACCATGTAGTGGATACTGGGTATAATGTGACTCACCTTTCAGGCTATGGTACCTAACTCCAGATGCAACAATTGTCTTCCAATACCATATCCCTCAGTCTTTATTACAGGCTTTTCCACCCAAAATCAAATTTATTTCAAGGAGACAAAACATGCTAGGCTACAGTTTTATGGGTCTGTATGGATTAGAAGAATATGGAACTATATGTTTTTGCACTCATGCAAATCCTTAATGTAGATCACCTCTGCTGATAAAGGATGTGGCTTCTCTGAATATGACCCAAAATGTTCCCTGTTGTAAATGACCTTGGTCCAAGTTGATTTCATCATAAATGCAGCATGTATATATTAGACAAATACAGTTTATAAATTAAATGCAAAAATCCCTTTTTACCATTTTTACAGATGTAATGAAAAAAAACCAGAATACTTTCACATTTCTTGCTTTAAGAAGTCTGTGACCTCTACATTTCATAGCTACTATAATTCTTCCAGAGAGATGCACAGTCTATAACATCGTTACAAAGGAAGAGATATAAAACACCCCTCCAAAAAATCTGGACACCATTTATTCTGCTTCAGTCAGAAAAGCTGCTATCTGTTGGAAGAGCCTTGACCTGGAAAGGCCTTGGAAGACAACGGAAGTCTTCAAATAATTTTAGCTGAGACTCACTTCAGCTACAGTTATCCTAGGTTTAAATGAAATGATACACAGCGATATTCTTCCAATTACAAAGATAACTAAAAGTAGCTTAAACTCTTAAAATTTAGATAAAGTATAGTATAAAGTAAATAAAGTAAATAAGTATAGAATATAGCATGGCATAACTACAGCAGAAAACTAGGATTCCTGAGTATATGTTATTTTCAGTGCTTTAACTTCTATCAATATAAAGCAGGAGAAAAGAACATAGAATACAGAATATGCTGCAAGAGGAGAAGAATAATCCTTTCTTTACAGAAGTTACACAGTTCATTTTCTGATTTTCCAAACCTGGAGTGAGCTTATTGGAAGCAGACTTTGCCACCAACTTTCATTACTGTTCTGTCAAATAAAATCAGATGCTTACATTTCATTTATATGCATAATTACAGGGGTGGGGTTTTTTGCATCTGTGCCTTTTGTTATGGATAAAACAAACAGTATTGAAAGAATCTACCCTGAAATAGACCTCTTAATGCAGAATAGACAGGTCTGTCTTTCAAAACAAAAGACAAAGTGTATACACACTACTTTGCTCCAGTAGGCAGAAATCTATTTGTTTAATTTGTGAATGGTAAGGTTATAGATGAGACAAAGTAATGAATTGTCAAAGAACAACAAAATGTTCTCTACCAGTACAAAAGTATTTTGTACAAATCCAGAAAAGCAGCATTTCCAGCTGGCGTCCAGAACATAAGAGCAGAAGCTTTCTAATGCTTCTGCAGACCAATTTCAGCGTGAATGGCGTATTCATGAACTTTTGAGTGTGTAATGCAATGAAATCGCTAACTAGACTTCAGACCAATAAATTTAACATTTGCAAAACAATGAAAGAAATCATCAGGGAGTAATTTGACCTAAATAGTTTTAAAATGTGTATTAAAGCTAACAAAAAATCAGTCTGATTTGAAGACACAACATCTCTCCCAGCTGCACAGAACACCCATAGAAAAAACTTAATGGGACTCCTCCTCCAATGGTACCCCGATGGTGCATTAGGGAGCAGCTCTAATTCAAAAGAGTGCCTGGCATTCAGTTTCCACACCCCACAGCTGCTGTCGAGTTCAACAGCTGGCTCATAAATGGTGGCTGTGATGAGTGGACAAGAATGAGAAAAACACATCATTCAGCATTTAGTACTGACTGGCCTGGAGGTCAGAGATTTGTGGCATTTTAATCTGAAGAGGCAACAGTCATAACAGGAGAAAAAATGCATCAGAAAGAACTTGTACTGAGATGAAAAAAAGAGTTCAAACTTACTACAGAGGTGAACAAAAGAGAAGTCCCTAAAACCAGTAAAAGTTCCAAGTCCCCAAGCTTTTTTTGGAAGCTCTTGCTGAACACAACTGCTCAACCCCCCCACACTTCCATCTATTAATTAAATCAAAACATAAAACGTTAAATGTTTTTTCCTTTTTTAAAAGAATGAAAAAAGGTTGAGACATTTAAACATCCTAAGACAGAAGCATTCATTAAAAACATACCACAAATATACTGAAAACAATTTAAAAATTCTTCATCCATGTATTAAAAAATCCCTTTAATAACAAAAATGAGTGCTACAATCTCACTGAGCACATTCTGTGTAGCTAAACAATTTCAAACTTACCTGCATGAAAGGTAAGTTCAAATGGCAGTTGGGGAGGGGGAACTTTCTCAGCACATAACCAGTAATTTTGCCATATTAAGATACTGCAGTAGCTACCCTTCACATTATCAGGATATGTTTATACCATAACCGGTGTAAGAACTTCCAAACACGGTGTTGTACAAAAGCAGTAGCTTTGAATTAGGTAACTTGAGTGACAATAGCAGTAAAAATAAGCAAGCCTAAATAAACGTGCACGTTACAGTACAGGCTGTCCAACCCATAAAAGACTGTAAGCACTTAGCCAAGTGAATAATTCATGCCAAAGCCCAGGTTTTCAAATTCTTCTTTGAAAAGCTGGGTATTCCCACTCACCTGGTAGTCACAACTTAGAGCTGCACCAGAGGCATAGTACCATCCACATAATGGCACTTTGGGTACAATCTAGGGCATATGGGCTATCCAGCCAGGAAATATCTAAAATAAACCCCTCCTTCACTGTTACTCACTGACATTCAAAATCTTTTCATTCCTGCAGTTCACCATAAATTAAGCTTAATTCTGCAATAGAAAGTAGGAGGTGGGAAATGCGAATCTGCTAGGAAAGACTCCATTCTAAGTTTCTCCAAATAACACTAAGAACTTATTTGTATGAAGAAGAAAAAATCCAACAACTGTGTTTTTTTAGTCTTCATAACAAATTGGACCAGATTTCTCCAGAAATTTTTAAATAAAAGGCTGCTACTGTCCATAGTTCAGGTGACAAATGGTCTACTCTTCTCTTGAATAGAGTGCTAGACTTAGCCTGGGCATATAAATAATTGAACCACAGGGGCCCCATATATTTCTTGCTTAATTTATGTAAATACCGCATTTCTGAGTGTTGCTACAGTAGCACCTCCATAGTCAATGGATAGGGAGCTCAAGGCCTCATTCAGGCTGAAAGGGACCTCTGGAGGTAACTCAAGTTTTTAGTATCTCCAAGGATAAAGACATTTGAAAAAACAGATGGGCTCTTTTTAAGGTGCAGTACTCTATTCCTCCATTCACATGACTGAGGAATACCAACAAATCTCTTAGTCCAATCAGAAGCACATTAAAAAAGAAAAAAAAAGAAAAAAAAAGGAGAAAAAAAAAAGAAAAAAGAAAAAAGGAAAAAAAGGAAAAAAGGAAAAAGGAAAAAAGGAAAAAAGGAAAAAAGGAAAAAAGGAAAAAAAGGAAAAAAAAGGAAAAAAAAGGAAAAAAAGGGAAAAAAAAGGGAAAAAAAAGGGAAAAAAAAAGACATAACTCTACACCAATCCAGATGTTCTTGCTCTACTTTCTAAAGCCAAAGGCTCCGTATTCCACCTCCTATGATCTACTCAAGTGGGCTATTTCCTGGTATAGTTCAAGGATCCCAGGTCTGCTATTAGATCTTTCCTCTCTTCCCAGAGATCAGACTGTTGTTTTATTGTGTGTACAGTGTAGATTTTCAATAGCAAGTAGCACAAATAAAGGGACAGCATGTGATAACAACAAATAACAATTAAGATAATGATGTTACTCAGAGGATTAACTGAGATGCTCTTCATTGTTACACCAAAGAAGTTCTCATTTCTATAAATGGTTTACAAATCAAGAACAAAAATAAAATATCCAAGTAAAAATACATCAAGCCCATTTTGTATATCGGGATTTTTAATACAGAGGGATTGAGTATTTCGCTCAATGCTGCACAGAAAGCCTTGTAGCAAAGCAAGTAACTAGCAAACAACTGTATTTGAATGGAAGTTGTCAGAAATTCAGATTTATCCAGACCACTACATTAGACTTCATTTCAAACACAATAACGGGATGAGAAAGATGACAGAAAAAAAGCAAGAGCTTCTAGACTTAGCACTCGTGTAATGATGTTTCCTGATACAAATACAGAAATCAAAAGGAAATACAAATTTTTCTACTTCAATTTGTAATTATTAGTCTGTTTTCTTTATAAGGAAAAAGATGACTACAGGTATATCTTTAGTTCACAGACAAAGCGACAGCCGGCCCATAACTAACTGTAAATGTTCAGATGCTGGGAAAAGCTAAATTGGCTTTTGGTAATTAGTGGAATGAATGCCACCAACTGATTTAAGCTCAGCAGTCTAGATGTGCTCGACCATCCAACATATAAGCAAGCGCAAAAGAAGACTGAAAATAAGTTACCAGTAGTATTTAAGAGATCCTTTTGAATGTAGTCATATCAAAACACCATTAATTCGTAAAATTAGCATCCAATACTGGTGATGGGCTAGCTCCAGTCTCATCTTTACAAATGCCAAAATTTTCTTTAAGCTTAAAATTAATAAAAAAGGAACTCAAAGGCCTAATAGTTACAGACTTATGGGCAAGATTTCCTTCATGTTCCTGTTCAAAGCATTATTAAACTTAAATGAGAAAAGGCAGCTAAGTTATTGGAAAGTCAGGTAGAAGATTTTTTTTTTATTATTATTATTATTTATTATTATTTATCATCCCAAGTTTGTTTGCTTGTTTTTTTTAAAAAAGTAAATAATTAAAGTTTTCAGAAATTTGGGAAGTTGTCAGACTTTCAGAAATTTGGGAAGTTGTCAGACTTTGCCTTAACAGGCAAAGATATTAGTTAAAATTTCCTATCCTCACTTGCAGGGATGGCATACTGGTTTACTATACTATTTTCCTGTATTACTATAAAGCCTAGCAATTACTCAATTAGTTTTCTCAAAAATGCAATTCCCTTACTTTAAATAATGAAAGGGTACTTTGTTAGGTATCAACATAAGCATTAGTATCCTGCACATGTTGCAAGTTTACAGCAGACTAGAATTGACATTTTGCAACAGTTTACTCAAATGTTTGTAATGGTATACATTTAATACAATATACCTCACTAAACTATTGAAGTTAGTAGCAATATAGAAAAACAAACAAAACCCTCATATAGGCTTACCTTCTGTTCTGAATTCTCATAAAACAACAGCCCAAAATAGTCTTTTTCCAGTAAATTGAGATGTTCACACACTTTGTCAAACAGCACTTGGCCTTTTGCTCTTTTCTGAAAAAAAAAAAAAGAAAAGAAAAAAAGAAAAAAAAAAGTACTATCAGTCTATCAGTAAAATCCTTAATTACAGGTACTGTTATTCGATGGTATTAGTCAGGAAAATCTGAAATATCAATAAAATAGATTATAAAGCTGTAGCTTTCTTATGATACACTGTTCACCATATTTTGAAAGCTATACATATCACTGACAAAAATAAAGACATTGCAATTTTTTTTCAATTTATCAAAAAAATTGACTTGAATGCACAAGGAAAATTCAGTACCTAAATTGATGTAAATATTTTGCACCATTAAGTGTCACTAAATATTTCTTAGTTTTTCTGGATCTTTATTTTTAAAATAAGGAAGACTTCTTCACATAAGCCAACTTTTTCTATATCATTATCTTCTAAAAATTAATATATTTCCTACAGTGTTAATTTCTGTTAACTTCTGCATTTCTAGTACTTTGGCATACCTCTCAATGACTTTTATGAATAATATGATATGAACTCTCAAGAAAAATAAAGCACGTTATCATCTTTGAGAGACAAGAAGAACAAGCAGACCACTATAAGTTGGTGAACAGACCAGTAGAAGTAGCATACAAGTGTGAGCAGAACATAAGCAACGTGTCTAGGTGTCTGTATTGCAGAAGTTTTGAGGGGCAGAAAAGAAGAAAAAAGGGCTACCTTATATCTGTAGATTTATGAACTCTCAGTAACCAACAAATCCATTAGATACTCAAAAATAAAAACCAGTCTTAGAGAAGTTTATTCTTCCTAAAAATAGTATTTGTAGAAATCAGTAACAAAAAAAAATAAAAATGAAGATCACATTTTTATTTGAGGTTAGTTTCAATATTGTAGTCTGCTACTTTATAACAGAAATCGAAGACTGATCACCATTTTAACACACACTTAAAAAGGCTGCTTGCTGTAGCTCAGTATTACTACAGCTTAAGCAAATGGCAGTTAGTCCTGAAGTTTTATCTGTTGTTCTTCTACCTGGAACAGGGAACATAAACAAGGGCATCCCATATCTCCCTAGTGCTGGTAATGAAGCGCAGGCCCAGGCCCTACTTCTGTGCGCCAGGTTTTAGGGAAAAGATTTGTTGTACTGGAGATGGCAGCTGACAGGAGACAAAGTTTTAGAGCAGACGGCTCACAACACATACTCAGGGATGGGGAAGACAAGAATGTCTTTCTCCAGTTAAAATTTGAACATGAATGGCATGCAGTCTCCCGGGTTGAACCAACTCCTTCATGACTGTTCTGCTATTTGTGGCATTTATCAATGAGGCCACAACATGGCATTTTCAGAGGCCTGGCAGCGTAAAGGAATTTTTGCATTTGCTTAATCTACAGATTTCAGTAGATGCCATACACCACTGCAATTCCACAGAAACGCCATCAACTGCCCCTGTGTAGGCCCTGGCGACACTGCAGCCATTGTCCCTGTGGGCAGGGCGCTCACAATATGCCCCAGCTCGGCGCTTGCCTGCAGCTCCGCTCCACGGCACAAAACATCAAGGCCGGGAGGGGAGGGAGGGGGAGAAAAGAAGGTATGCACTGAGCAAATAGTGAAGGCATTGTTGTTTTATTCCCCAAGAAACCAAAGCTTTATTTATTCAAGATCGCATTGTTCAGCAGACATTACAGTCCCAAAGATCAGAAAATTTTCAAAGAAACAAACTTATAAAATGAGCACGTTTAGTAACACAAGCATCACAGCAATGCAGTGGAACTTAGAAGTCAGAGTCACTTTTGAAATGGGGAGCTGGGAATCTTAAGTTTGTTTGGTACTTTCAAAAATTTTATTCTTCAGAAAGACAGAGGACTATTTGCCCTAAGAATCTGAAGTAACCACTTAGTTTTTTTGACAGCCTCACCTCCAGCTTAATAAAAAAATCAGCAACATAGACAAGAGCTAAACTGAAAGCAGGAAAAGTATAAGCAAAAGAGGGTTTGAAGAACCTTAGCCTGCTTAGATGCATGTAATAGATATCATTTTTCTCCCTAAATCACTGTGCACATCAGTGATCAAACCTTGTAAAGGCAAGTTCCAGGTATACGTATTTCAGTGAAGGAAATCTAGAGATTAGTGCAGAAATAATAGATGCTATCATTAAGTCCATATCTGGAGTCAGTTGCTAATTACATAGCTTTTTATAAAGCTCACAAACTAAAATCCATAGTTAATATCAAGTCTTTGACATACAGAAACATAAAGCAGCCAAATTTACAGGAAATACATTGCAAGTGTAACAGTAAAATATTGCACAGTTTCTTCTTAGGAAGTCACAGTCAACACAGAACTTGGATACACTGGCAATGTCCACTGTATCTTTAAAGATCTTTTTGTAAATTTATAGCTCTTCCACATAAGGAAAAACACCCCCATGCCATGAAGGCCAAGTTATGTTAGTCTACATTCCAGACAGCAGCATGATACAAAGAAGTTAGAGCATCAGAAAGTGACATTTATAGAGCTCTGTTGTGGATTCAAAAGCATAAGAAGCCTCTCAGTATCACCAATGGTTCTCATTATAAAATCCTACTTGTAAAATTAAAAGACTCCTAGTTATTAAATACTTTTTTTTATATTGTGATATAGTTTTTTAAATCTGCAAAAGTATTTGATTTGCAAAACCAATCTTTTCAAGTGCAATTTCTTTGTAATCCCTTTGGGGACAGTTTAAATTATATAATAACATATAATTTTTCTGGAAAACCCCATGCTCCTAGGAGAGTGTCTCTAAACAAGAACTGAAGTTGCACAGAGAAGACAACTGTTGTGATCCAGTCATTTCAGAAGTTAGAAACTGTTTAATAGAAGAGCAGGGGACTCTAAGAAGGCAGCATCATGGTTTGCACAGTTTAATGTTACTCTTTAAACTGGTTTCTGTTTCTTTCTCTACCCGTTGACTGCGGTGTCAAGTGATAGTCACAACCAAGATGTAAAATGATGATCACTAGCCTTATAGATGTATGTATGTATAGATACGCATTCATGTACAGGTATACACACATATATGTGTATATTGCACAGCAAACATTAGCACTGCAAACAAGGAAATCTCCTTATCCCAGATTCTAATGCTGAAATGGCAGTAAAAACGTAAGTCCATACTCAGCCCCCACAAGAAGGGAGGCATATTTAGCCTAGCTATACAAAGAGGCTGAGAAGTGAGGACAGGCTCGCAGAGTTAGTAGTTTAAAACACAACAGTACTCAGAACAGCAGTATTCTGTATTGCCCCCCAAGTTATGTTTTTTTTTTTTAAGTGAGAACACAGAAAGAATGTATGCAACCAAAGTTATTCCAGTACCAATTCCAAGTCTGCGTTTAGACACCACAGATGCTACCTCATAATACAACCACTTCATAAAACCAGGGGTAACAAGGTTTCGGTCCTTTACCTCCTTCTCACAAGAAGAGCAAACCAGAGCAAAGCAATTGCAGCAGACATACAGAATGGAAATTTCTATGCAGTTGGGAATTAGAATAGGATATTACGGATCTGTTTGGCTATAAAAGAGTTGCCAGCTACAAACGCAATATAAACACTAGCAATGTTCCTTCTGGCTACTACTTCTGTTCGATATTTTTATCAATGATCTGGATGCAGGAGTTGCATGCACCATTAGCAAGTTTGCTGATGATACCAAACTGGGAGGTGCTGCGGACTCTCTCAAAGGACAAGAGGCCTTGCAGAGGGATCTAGATAGATTGGAGCATCAAGCAATCATCAGCGGCATGAAATTTAACAAGTGCCAGGTTCTGCACCTAGAACAGAGGAACGCCAGGCACAAGTATAAATCGGGTGAGGAGTGGCTGGAGAGCAGCCCTGCAGAAAGGGATCTGGAGGTGCTGGTCGGCGGCAGCAGGCTCAATAGGAGTCAGCAGTGTGCCCTGGTAGCCAAGAGGGCAAACCGCACCCTGGGGTGCATCAAACACAGCGTAACCAGTCGGTCAGAAGAGATGATTGTCCTGTTGTATTCAGCACTGGTGTGGCCTCACCTTGAGTACTGTGTCACAGCCCTCTGGGGCCCAGAACTGCAAGGTCCTTGAATGCATGCAGAGGAGGGCAACACAGCTGGTGAAAGGGCTGGAACGCACGTGTTACAAGGAGCGGCTAAGGACTTTAGGCTTGTCTAGTTTGGAGAAAAGGAGGCTGAGGGGTGACCTCATTGCTCTCTACAGCTTCCTGAGGAGGGGACGTGGAGGGGGAGATGCTGATCTCCCTGGAATCCAGCGATAGGATGCGTGGGAATGGTTCAACGCTGCACCAGGGAGGTTTAGACTGGACATTAGGAAGCATTTCTTTACCGAGAGAGTGGTCAAATACTGGAACAGGCGTCCTAGAGAGGTGGTCAAAGCCCCAAGCCTGTCAGTGTTTACCTCCTCCTTCCCCTACCAGTACATGCTGAGAAAATCTCTGATGACATTTCTTCCCAGCTCTGCCCTAGTAGAAAGGATTGAATGAGTAACCATGTCCCAGCCTAGGCATTGGCTCTGTCCCTTTGTGGGAAGGATGCATGTACCTTCTGATGGGGGTGAGAGCTGTGGATCATCGAGATAATTTAACCGTCTGAACAAATTTGAAAAAAGCACATGTGAAGTACGGTTTCTGAAAGTCTTCTGTGTTCATCCAGTTTAGCTGGGTTTCCACAGGATGGCAAAAACCCACATCTCTGACACTAGCGAGGCTCAAATGGCATCCTGGCTGGTATCAGAAATAGTGTGGCCAGCAGGACCAGGAAGGTGATAGCGCCCCTGTACTCGGCAGTGGTGAGGCCGCACCTCGAATACTGTGTTCAGTTTTGGGCCCCTCACTACCAGAAGGACATCGAGGTGCTGGAGCGTGTCCAGAGGAGGGCAACGAAGTTGGTGAAGGGTCTAGAGCACAAGTCTTATGAGGAGCGGCTGAGGGAGCTGGGGTTGTTTAGCTTGGAGAAGAGGAGGCTGAGGAAAGATCTTACTGCTTTCTATACCTACCTGAAAGGAGGTT